GACTGAGTTGTAAGTCAGCGCTGCGAGTCTGTTTCCTTCTTGTGTGCATGGGAGTGTGACGGTTCATCTGCGCTGTTCCATCCAAGCATGAATTACCAACTTGCCCAAACACCCACATTATCGCAAAGATCAGTCGCCCGCATAATGTCCCCCTGGCCGTGTAACTCATCTGCACAAACCGCTTAACTTTCACGGATTTTTTTTTTTTTTTTTATACCTGATCGAATTAAACAAAAAAAAAAAAAATCATCCGTATACTTGAGAAGTAAAACAGCACTTCTGCCCTCGGTCCCTCCCCAGCCACGTAGCTCGCGTCTCTGGGATGGGGGTCGAAAAAAGCGACACATTACAACCCGTAAGAGATACACGAATGCACAAGAGGCAGAAGAGGAATGAGTGGCTATTAAAGCGTAGCCACTTCCAAGTGGCGAGAGGAAACCAATGTTTTTTCCCCGTAGCGGACGTTGCGCATTTCATGATAGCGGCATCCGCGTGGAGAAGTGGACAGCCGACACGTAGCAGAAGACCGACACAAACGGGGACAATTAAATGACGTCATCAGTCTCACATGACCGCGTCATGCGATTTATCACTAGTCTACAAGTGGCAGTATAGACACGATCGCGCCTTCGGTAAGGACCTTATAAGTTGTTCTACGTCGAGAATTTTAGTTGAACAACCAAAAACAAAAATTGCCGGTTCTTTTCTTTTGTGTGCATGTGTGGAAGGGGAAGGGGGTAGTAGCATGCAGAGAGCGCCATTCTTTATATTCAGTACCTGGTTTTATCAGTCGGATAAGCTCCGAGGAGCGGCTCTCCGTTGCCCAATATCTCTCTCCGCGCCTTCTTTTTTTTCTTCCCCTCTCGAGGCGGCTCGTTTTTTGTCGGCGTGCGCGTCCCACGCGCGGGGGTCTTCCATTTTTCTTGGAGCGAGTTGATAAACAAATTAGGGAGGCCCTCGGGTTGCGCACCCCATAACTCAGGGGCCGGCGAGAGAGCGCGCCTATCGCGGCCCCGTATTTATGGTGCCTGGTGGTGGCCACCGCGCACGCACCCAGGCCCCGCCGGCCACCCCGGAATAAATAACAATTAAAAGTGGATGCCCGCACACTGGCGACGATGCGAGAACAAAGAAAACCAAAGCTCGAATCAGGGCCGGCTGGGTCTTATTAAGCCGCGATTTATAAATAAACTCCCCGCCAAGTCGCGCGTAATTAAATTAAGGCTCGCGAAAATTTTTGAGCGCCTAGGCGCACTTTGTGTTTGTTTTGCTCCTTGGAAGTGTTTTTTTTTTTCAGGCGCCCTCGCGTTCTTGTGTTCGTCATTAGTCTCGATGAACTCTGTTTGGAGTTTAGTTTTTACCCCGCCGGTGGAGCCGGTAGTTTATTATCGTAATATGCCGGGCCGGCGCTAATACTTCACGAGGCATTTGTTATCTTTTTTATGCGCATCGGCGAGAAAGTTTCTCCTCGTGTACGCGGCGGCGTGTGACCCCCGCACTTTCAACTCGGGGTTGCAAATAAAAGGAGCGCCTACGCGTAGCGGCTTAGGACCGGCTGCTTTAATTTTCACTCGGACGCTTCGGTGTCAGATTTACAGATTTAATTTAATGCGAGCTAATTGAGTGACACGTACTTCGCGAATTACGAAATAGAGATTATATTGATTGGCGGTTTCCGAAAGGCTTCCTGATCGAATCGTTTCCTTAGACCAGCACCAAATTTTCACAGGTACACTTCTTTTAATACGACCGGTCGCGTATGGGCGTTGTCTGTAACTTTTTTTTTCTTTCTGTTTTTGAGCTACGTTTTTATTGGCTCACGTCAATATGGTCGAAACTGTCGAATCATTCAAGCGAGCCGCCAAAACGCACGTGGTCTGAAACGCTTTCCCGCGCTCACCCGTTGTAGCTGTGGACTTGTCATTAACCTCTATTGTAGTTATCAATTGGGACTTGAGCTACATTGCTCGTGGCCCGCCTATATAGCTGTCGGCGAGTTTGCACTCGCCGACAGCCGGACACAAACGGATACTAGCATACAGACGACCAAAACTTCGCAAGGCGACTCGCTAATCTGTCTACGTTGCCTTGGAAATCGCCATCTCGGTCCATTCAAATCTTCGAAGCTTCCAAAGGGTCGTTCTAAACCAGTCGCGCCAAGATCACCATGGAGCATCTTCCTACTGGAAGCGTTCCTCGCCAATATAAGAGTCTTTGGCACTGCGTATGCAATCAACTTATCAATCATGCCCATCTCCATGGATCTTTTAGAATTATATTGTTCTTCTTGCGTATTTCAAAACAGTTAACTTATTTTTCGATGCTTTCTTAGCAAAATCTCGGTATACGAGAAACGTTTCCATGAAGCTACCTGTCACCAGCGGATTTAGATCGGCTCACAAGAACGAAGGGGTCAAGGAGAAATCGCTCATTTTACGGACCAAAATGGCGATCCTACGGGGAGCGTGGCGCTACATTCTTAGGATCTACCGACTTTACTGCAACCCTGAAAGCGGTATCCCACTTCCGCTTAGAACATTATTTTAATCGCTGTGAGTAAAAGAATAGAAAAAAAAAAAGTATTTTGTGTGGGAGTTTTTCCAAAATTTTTATTGCCTAAACACCACTCTTTTTTTAATTAGAAGGGGGCGCGGCATTTTTTGCCCCCTGTAGGCGTGGTTCAAAGAGCGATTTAGGCGCCTCAAGGGCTAACGATCACCAATCGTTTTTTACCAGACAAACAATGAAATCAGCCGTTTATTGGCCCCCTGTGAAGATGAATAAAGCAATCTGAAGGTTTACTTCTTAATGCTATTACTCAGACTACTTCCAATCTTTTCTGTACAAGCCTGCCTCCTGCTCGCGCAATGTGACGGAGGCCTAATGCCAAAAAGACGCCGTGTAACGAACATTTCGGTAGTATTATTTTAATAGATCACCGGGCGGTCTAATGAATCTTAGTCCTTCCCTGGGAGATGGCCGTGGTTGGTTTGAGACGTAAACCCCGAAAGTGAACTTCTTTTTTGCTTCAGGCTTTATCTTCGCTCGTTCCGAGACGACAGTCGAAGGAACCAGGCCGATATGAGCGGTGTCTCGTTGGAGACGGGGCCTGCACGAGCGCCCGCTTCGTCACCTCTCCGGGTAATAAGGGCGTCGCGAGCATCAGCGTATGGAATGTCGAGTGGCGGGGCTTGGCGAGGCGCTGCTTCGCCGCCACGACGCCTTTCTATCGCGACAGGTTCCGATCGAGAGAGGAAAAAAGAAGTCGGTGACAGACGAGCAGTTGAACGACGACGTCGCCCTCTCCGGGGCTCGAGTTTGAGGGAGGGAGCGTCTCGGGGACCGCTCATTGCTCGCAAACGGCGCTCAATGGATGATCGCACCCGGACAGATTGAGACGAGTGTCGCCCCGCGCCATTTGTTCCCCTCTCCTCCGATGATTATCGTTATTGCGATGCCCGACATTTCGCTGGCGGCCACTCGCTCATTTGCATTGCTGCGCGTCACACGGCGCCCTGCGCTCCTTCGCGCCCCGGGTGGGATCGCGGCCTGGATCGGAGCGAGTGGGACCAGGCCCGCGAGCCAATCGGGAAGCGGCGAAGGCGCCACGTGACCGCTCTATCGGGCGCGAGCGTATCTCCGTGGCGTCGAATCACGGGACCCGCTCTCGGCGTTGGGTTGACTCGGATGGCGTCTAGCTTTCAGTCAAGTCCACGCTGCGGCGAAACGGAGCGTAAAAAAGCTTGCGCCAAGACGTCGGTCCCGCAACGAGAGGGAGAAAAAAAAAAGAGGGCGTACGAATTGCGACGGTCGTCCCGATCATTCGTTTTCTCCCCGTTAGACGGGCCCCTTAAGAAAAAAAGGCGCGCACCCATTTTTATTTTTTTCTTCTCCTTGGTGCAGTTCGTGTCGCTTCTTGTCGAGTTGGCGTCCTACATGAAAAGCAGGGGCGGATGAATGGCTCCAAATCTAAAGTTCGTTAGAATAATCGGGCGATTTATAACGTCCCGCCCGGCGTCGGAGCCCGTCGCTGCTGGCTGTAGCACTCGATCGGCGCACTGAAGACGGCGCTCGCTTGCCTTCCGCGTTGCCTAGTGCACGTTGCTTTCGTTGTACTGGCCCGGTCAATTAACGGTCCCGCTTGCGCCACGCGCCGTTCTCGCATCACATACACGCGAGAAGCGCAGTCACGTGCCTGGAGACATACAGTTGATTCATTCAACCAGACTGCACTGTCAGCGTCAGAGCGTAGACGTGCGCGTAACCGTTTCTGTTCGTTAAGAAAAGATATATATATCATTTTATTTTAAGTATAGTGTGTCACTAAAAGGCACCTGGTGACCGAGATCTGTGTTACCGTTGGTGGGGGTCGGAGCTTCTAAAACATAACTTACCTGTGGGACCTGCTGCTGTGATTGTGGCTTCTCCTGTCGCCTCTGAGCATACACAGCACGGCCATGGAGCCCGACTCGCAGGGGCGTTTGGGAATTTGGGAACCGCTGGCCCGTTCTGTTTTAACGCGATGGGGCATGTCGCGGTACACGTGCGTCGACTCCAGCCTGTGGTTGGGAAGCTCCCGCTGGATTGCCGCTCAATTCCAAATTGGTTATTCTAGCCTGGTTAACTTGCGACACTTCGTTTTGATAGCGAGGGGATAAGTCCTGGATCATCGACGACCATTCGGGAAGAGAGTGCGAGGGACTCGAGTTATCTATGAATACATTTAAACCCAACTTAGTTGTAATCGATTTCTTACAAATCGTAAAACGTTTTGTAGGGAGTTTGACCGCTGTCCGGAGACAATTTCGTTAATCCAGCGCCAATGCACACCACTAAGTTATCCCCGTAGGGAAACCGGCGAGAGTAACTGGTGTGTCACGGGTCGTGGACGCGATTGTCGTGGGGCCGAGGCGTGGTCCCTGAACGCACTGGGTATTCGTTGATGTCCCTTTATGCTGAAGGGCTAGGCTGACTGTCGCGTCTCTCTGTATGGTGCGCAGGCGAAAGAGACGCAACTTCAGCAAGCAAGCGACGGAGATCCTGAACGAGTATTTCTACTCGCACCTTAGCAACCCGTACCCGTCGGAGGAGGCCAAGGAGGAACTCGCCAGGAAGTGCGGCATCACCGTCTCTCAGGTGGGTATCTACGAGAGCTGTCGTGCCCTCAACCCCCCTCTCCCCATCCTACCCTCCCCCATCCGCGCGGGGACATTTTGTATGGAGGGGAGCCAGATGGCACGCTGCGAGAAACCAGCCCGCTGCTTTATTCTTTCCGTCAAAAAAAAAATCTCGGATGTGCAAGTGTCTTTTTTTGACGATCCATGAGACTGATTCTGGAAACGGGCGGTTCGTGAAGCTCGCTGCTAATATCAATTATCGGGATCTCGATCGTGCCCGCCGTCTCGTGGCTGCTTCCCGCACATTTGCGTTGGACTGTGACCGATTGTGTCACGACCGCTCGTTACTGCATACGTTAACACACTGGCGCCATCTCCCGGGAGCCCTGGCCCATTTTCGATCGGTGTATATTTCCTCATTTTTTACGCGTCATTCTTTTACCCTGGCTCGAGCTAAATCTTCTAATAAGTGACCATTTCTCGAAGATATTGCATACAGTTTATATCGCAAATATCGCCAAACGTCTCAACACAAGAGTGTGTTCACTCGACGCAAGGAGTCAGAAACGGTCGCGAAATAGAGCTTATATGCTTTCCTTCTTGCGGTACGATAAGTAGGGATTCGTGTTTTGAGATAAATACGAAATGATACGAAAACACTCGTCTGTAAAATTTGCGGCACTCTATTTGTCCGGAAAAGTTCAGAATTTCGAAGACACGACGGCAAAATAAAAAAAGCGAGAAAATATACATTGTTTTAAGAATAAAATTCACGAGAGCTCTGGTCAGCGCTCGTGGAGAGGCCGTTTTATTTTCCTTTGAAATCTCGAACTTCTAATGAAAGGGGATTTACTTTTTAGCTCGTCAACGTTCGTTTGGAACAACGGGTCAAGGCAACTCTTGGTCTCAACAAAAGTCATTGTTTAGGGCAACACCTTGGACCATACTATTTGTGCTTAGAGAAAAGACGGGTAGTGTTTTTATTATAGTAAAAGCTATGAACCCGTAGATTTCAATGGAGGGAAGGAAAGCTGAGGCCTGCATGCTTCCTGGCAACTACGTAGAAAAATATCGACTACTATTGAGGCGACTGTTTGTAATATTTGTCGTGTGATAGTTGGTATTACTAATGGCAAGGGCGCCAATGCAAAATGCAACTGCAGAAATATCATTTGATACGTGTGAGTTCTGATAAATTTAAAGTACGTTTACGTCGCACTTTTTTTTTATATTGGAAACATATTAAAATTAAGCTCAGAGTTTTTAAAAATTCGGAATAGAAAGAAGAGAAAAAACCGATAAACGTTGAGTTTTCAGCGAAGAAGGAGCTCCGCAAACAACCTCCGAATTTCACAAAAACTCCGAAAACACGCCATCCTAAAGATGAGTGACCAGAATGTCTTGGGGAGAGTGGGCGCTTTGCATTCGTCTTCCCGCCTACGAGGGCGGGAAGGCCTGACATATCAGTGAAGTCAGAAATCGCCGCATTAGCCTCTTGGGTTTCTCGGCCAGAAACGGTTCTTGAAGCGAGAAACTAGCGCGAGTTCCGATTTCCCTTCGCATTCAAGCTTTATTCTGACCATGATTCAGTCGTTCCGGAAGTGCTCTCAGTGGTCCCTTCGAAGTAGCGGTCTTCATCCGACGTTATCCGCAACCGACGCCAAAACGAGCGCACGTCTAACTACAAGGGGATTGCGGCGAACGTTTCTCCGCGTAAAGGTGTCCCACAAACTGCGACTAAAAGTGCTCGTGGAGACCAGCCCGCGCTTTATTGCCTTCGTACCTTCGACCTTTCTGCCACAACCATGACTGCACGTTCTAGCGAAGCCGACGAGCCGGTACACGTATGAGGAATGGTGTAGCGAAGTGTTAGCAGTACCATTCATTCGCGAGGATATTGTGCCAGTACCGGCGATCCACGAGTTTGTCGGAAGCGTTGAAAAAGGATGGAGGTGGCATTGTCGATACTCTCACCTGCGTAGCTACATAACCCGGTGGAAGTGTGCAAAGCCGCGAGCGAGTGTTCGAATAGCTGTCTTTGGCGCATCGGGACATAAGGAGAGCACTCCAATCAAATCGCAACAAGAGGAACGCGCAGCGAAGGCACAATGGCGAACCAGCCCAGCATGTGCCTTCATTTGTTGATATCGAGGTGAGAAACAAGCACTTGGCGTAATTCGCGGGTGCAGACCAACTCCTACTCATTGCTGGTTGGAACCAGCCGGTGAAAGTCATCAGGGACCATACGTGACGCCTTGAGGGCAAGTTTGACCAGGTGGCCTCCGATACCAAATCTGGAAGGGTCCTTAAAGGGCCGATAGAGGTTCCTAAGTCATTACCAAAGGTGCACTTCATATCGTTGGGCTCATTGCGGAGCATGATCGCCGCGGAATCGAAGGCACCAGCGAAGACTCGGAGACGCCGCATTTAGGGCGTCGAAAAGGGGCGAGCGCTTCCGCACTCGTGAAGGGGCTGTTGCTGCCGCTCGTTACTGCTGCTTGTTGGCAGGGGCCGAAGGGGTGTCCGGAAACTGTATCGCGTCATCAGCACCAAGCGGGCGCGCTCTCTCGCTGCCCGGGAAAGCGAGGCCCCATCCGCCCTGATTAGCCTCATCGGGGCCGCATCCTCCGGAGCGTTTTGCCGGCCTTGCGTTGAAAGTAATTGGCCGCTAATTGGACGAGGCTCCCCTTACCGAGCGCAGGGACGGACGCAGTGCTCGCAAGTTGCAATTCAGGGTAAACAAGGCCTTCACGCGGAGTACGGCTGGGTGCGGCGCCTCAGGCAACTCCGTGTGCTGCCTATCGCGTTTCTGCCACTAAGAGTGTCAAGCTCTTGCGTCGGCGCTTTCTTCGTTTTGGAAGACTTCGTGAACGTGAGGCGGTCGTCCCCCTGAGCCTTTTCGCTTGTTTGCAAGTTTCGTATTTCACTTCTAATGTAGAATCACATTCCTTGATCCCCCCCTCCCTCCCACGCGAAAGAGTGACGAAAAAGTGTGCGTCACGCTTGACCTTCGACCTAAGCTTAGCGGGAAGGCTTTCTTGCTAATTTAGCGGTAACCTCTACAAAGGACTTCCTTCATTCACGCTATGGAATTTGTGACTCCAACCCAGCTCCATTACATTTTTTTTTCTCTACATTGGCTCGAAGGCATTTCGAGGATCAACAGGTGTCAAGTTCACCTGCCCAATCACTATTTATTCGGGTCACGTCGGACTTTCCCGTTAAAAAGTTAGATTACACAGTCACAGCGACATTTAGTCATTAAGTTTTTACGATTACTCGTAAACATGTAATTCTGGTTTCTTGTCTGTTTTTCCATTCCCAGAAAAAAAAAAGGGGGGTCTAAACGTAAGCCGGGTAAAATTGAGAATGAGGGAAAGGACACCCGAGGCTATACCGGGATCGAGACCCGTTGTATTACCGTCAGCGTTTTAGTGACGATCTGTAGCGCGAGGGCGTATACGTTTTCCCTTACTGTCTTGGCAGTGACCAGCGGCCCCCAGGTGGGCGTACCTGTGCCTTGCCTGACGTGCGGGGGCCCCCCGTGGCATTGCTCCACGGGGGCCCCTCGTCGGCAGCGTCGTGCGTGGGGGCCGACTTCTTAATTCCCGGAATTGCCGATAACAGTGTTATCCTGTCAGCGCGTGACATATTTTACCCGAGCTCGGGGAGCTTATGAATTCATTGTTATGCAAAGGGCCCTCCTAAAATATGGAAATGCGGCGCCGCAGTCTTCGCCACGCATCTCCATAAAAGCGCGCGCGGAGGTGGCGGTCGCGCCTGGCGAAGCCCTTCCCCGCCTCAGCTGTTGCCTGCGTCGCTGCCTCCTGGCGTCGAAAGAAAGACGCCGTCTTGAGAGCACGATGACGGATTGGACTTCTCCCGCCTTGTCTTCGAGGTTACCCTCCAGCGATGCCCCTATTGGTCATGCTTTCCCTCATCTGGGAGTTGACCGCGCACCTTTTTTCGATGCCATTTCAGTTCAATTCAATTTTATTGACATCTTAGTCGTGGAGAAGGAGGCAGAAAAAATTGAATACCCAGCGTACCTGTCCACTCTTTTACGGCGAAAGAATCCCCTACAATAGCGATCGCCAGTCGCTTTCTTTGTTTTGTACTTTGTGTTTTGTTGGTGGTGACAAGACAGAATACACTCCTGTGGCCTTGTGTGCAACACGATGGACACAGCTGCATGGACAGGCGCGAGCACAAACGTTTCTACACACGCAAACGTATCTTAGCACGTATGCTCACGAACGGGCGCCCGCTCTGGATTTGATCAGGCAATCTCTACCAAGACGTGAAACTATTATGTGTTTAGCACACGGTACGCATTGTTTCATTACGAAGGGTGTTGGTCAACACTTCTTATACGCCCATCAGCACCATCCAAGTGGCAGGCCCAAAGGCGAAAAATAATTTTTATTGTAATGGGTGACGTTTTCGGGCGGCGCTCCCTCCATACAGCAGTTCACACGCAACACGCACCGCATACAGTTTTCGCGTGCACAACTATACCGACTCCAGCACCTGAGTTAGGCGATTGTTGGAAGGCAATAATTTTCCACGTTACCACCCCCTCAATTCATTAGATCACAAATATATTTCCTTTGTTGGTCGTCGTCATTTCACATCAAGCATAATTTCTCAAGGTTCATGGATTGCGTCTTCTAGGCAGGGGCGGATATCTGGGTCAGGCTGCGGTCTACAGAGAGACCAGATGTCACGGACGGATGTGACGTTACCGGAGATGCACCACACCCTAATAATTGCCATTTCACCAAAAACATTTCCTTCTTCCATAAAGCTGTTTTATGTATTTTTGATGTTTTTTTATTGGAAAACGTTTTAAGGGCTTAATGGGGAGGTCTCCTTTCCCCCTTTTTTTTGCCTATTTTACGCCCTTATGGTACTCAAAGAAATAACAAATGGTATTACGCGAAGTATAAGTGCTAAAATGGTGTAGCGATTGATGTAAACGCTTTCTGCTTATCCGTGTCGACGATCTTCTCAATACTCGTTAGAATTATCGGTGGGCATTCTTTATTGCGTTTTATAGCATTTGCCGCTCTTTCCGAGATAAAATGAATTGGACTCCGCACATGTACTGTCAGAATCGCAGGGTGCTCTCTCTATAACAGGCGACTTTATTGGTTTTATGTGGGGCTCCGTAGAGTCTGCGTTCCTCCTATCTTCCTCTGTTCACTTTGTGTCCTTTTAATGGCTTGTCCCCACCCTCTTCTAAATTGGCACGGGACTTTCGGGGCAAAATTTAGAAATCGAAGTTTCACCTACCCTCGAACGCTTTCAGCGTGTGCCTATACATACGTATAAATGATCCTGAAGTGAAATGGGCGAAAAAAGCAGAGGCTGAAAAGGCGAGCTCAATCCGGGAGATGCCACCGCTGACATCTTCGTAAAAAGCACATGGTGCGAAAAGAGAAAAGGAAAGGGAGGGATTCTAGCGTCAAAGTGCTTTGAAGTTGCGAGCTACGTGCGCTCTAACGGTGCACGTGTTCCCTTGCAGGTGTCTAATTGGTTCGGCAACAAGCGGATACGATACAAGAAGAACATAGGGAAAGCGCAAGAAGAGGCAAACCTGTACGCAGCCAAGAAAGGTAAGGACCGTCTTGCTTTCGCCGCCGAAGCCTGGGCACGGCAGGGGCCGACAGGCGCCGAGCCCCCGGTCTTTAACGCTCGTACGAAGCGAAACCCAGCCGGCACTGATCCCTGTACGGTGAATGTGGAGCCTCCGCAACTCAGTCACTCTCTGCGCGCGCTCAAAATTATTGCTCCCTTGCTACCTACGCGGGTACTCTGGATTCCGTCCTACTTCGGGAGGTGTCCGATTTACAACGTTTTGGGAGATATCACCGTGCGTGCTTGTGTCTGATTGACAGTAGTAGTCATAGTCCGGTGCAACTCAAGAAGGTAGTGCGAGGGAAACGAAGGCCGGGGAGGAGGAAGCCGACGGAACGCTGGAGAGTTGAGGTTTCCCCCTTCCCTCCCCAGCCTTCCTTTCCGTCACCCTACCTCCTTGAGCTGTAACTTACTATAGTTGCTTTGTCTTCTCTACTTCAAGCATTTCAGCGGATAATAAGCATTGCTGATATTTTTACGAATCTCCGGTAATATCTTAGACGCAGCAGAATTGGATCCTTTATGAAGATTCCCCTCACTATCTAGCTGGTATCGCTCCACCACGTCGTAGTTGGCCGCGTATACTTACTATTACGTGTTTAGTAGGTGACGAAGCAAAACTTGGGTAAGAGAAAGAATCAGTTTTGTGGGACGTCTTTGTCACCAAATATTTCGCCATTTTGGACTCGAATGCGGGCAACATCATAGTAATTATATATTCTTCATTACATTACATATTCTAATCGCGGTGAAATAGCACATTGGCTTGATTCAGGTTGAGTTGACCGAATATTGTCGATTTCTATTCGATTGCCAAACATCGCCAAGGGGCGTACGGTCGCCCTTTCCGGATTGGCTTCGTAGTACGTCACCGATGCGCCTACTTCAATCCCTCGCCCCCTAAAGCGAGGCCGCTTTTGCTACAGTGGCGCTCCGAACCCCGTGGACATAAAGTCCCGCGAGACAGGAGCTTCTTACAAGTAGCGACATTCTTTAAAGCGCCGACTGCGTGACGGTGCAGGTTATAGGAAGTGAATGTCGGCGCACAGCGGATGTTTGAACTGAATGCAACGATATGTTCCAGCGGAATGTGCTTTGTCGTTTGCATTGGTTGTCGTTATTTGTAAATGAGGTATCAAGGGGGCTTTACGTGGACAGGAGAAATGGCAACGCGGCGGCTGGCCCTGCAATGGAATCCGAAATTCCGAAGACCGGTCAGCTCGGCCTATCGAGAACCTTCGTAATAAGGGAAAGATTTTGGAGATTAATAACCCGAGCGGGCGATCTATGTACTGACGTGGCGAGGGAATTGACAAACGCGGCATGGCTTCGCTTCTAGCAAAAGCCGTCGCGGAAACCCTTTCGCTCAATGCGACGAGTTCAGAGGCATCTGCGACGCCATCAACGGCGCGTGTTCGACGTATGCAGGCGTGCATCGGCAACGTCTAGTATCGCTGATATTTGCGTTGGCCCCAGTAAAGAAACGGGCATTTAGCTGTGTCTATCGACGTCTACGATTCTGCGCCGATGTGTCGTCGGTTTCTCCCTACGTACGGCTCATGAGCCAGTGCTAAGCCGGGCTCCGCGCGTGACCGACCAGACACCAAAGTCGGCCCAGGGCCGACGGAGGGGCGAATCTGCTCCGTTTTTCTGTCTTCGTTGCTAGCTGAATTCCTCCCGAACGGTTCCGTTAAAGAGCGCGCAGAGCGAGCTCCTCCGCCCATCCGACAAAGTGCGGCTCAGCGATCTGGGCCCAGTGCAGCCGGCACCGGCGTCGGCGCTTCCTGGGCTCCCGGGCCCATAAACAAGGGCCGTTTGTTTCTTGGCCGCGGTGTCGTCCCTAACGACTCTGCTCGGCGCCCAGTCGCGGGGAAACGCAAACTGCTCCCGGAAACCCTCGGACGGAGATTCGGGCGCATTAGCGGGGAGGGATTCGGAGGTACGCGGGCTGGCCGCCTCTTGTTCTACACGCGCGACGACAACCGCCCGGGCGGCGAGGAGCGGCGCGAGCCCGGGGTTCCTTATCTGGCGCCACGCGGGACAGGCGCGCGTGCTCGGGCCGCTTCCCGAAGGCTGCCTCCTCGGCGCGTTTCGCCCGTGTGCCGAGGATCACCGGAGTTGCCGGCGCTTGACGAGCCCTCCTTCCCGTTTCCGTAATGTATGCACGTGTTTCGGCGCCGCTTTCACGGATGCAGAGAGAGGCGAGCGGCGCGCTTTTGTTTTGCCCGATAAGGGCCGCTTCTCTTCGGCCTATTTGTTTCGCCGGTTGAGCGGGGCGCCGATTCCCGCTCCGCTGTAATCCCCTCCGAGTATAAATTTTGGAGGTGGTGCGCGCTCGCCTTATCGGCCCCGCTGGGGGGTCCCCCGGCAGAATGCAAAGCGCCGCCTGCCCTCCCGGCCTCGCTCTCCGGCCACGCCAGATGCGCCCAATGCTGGCCTCCGTCCGCTGTACACGAGGCGCGACAGCTTCCTGCGGGCCAACCGTGTAATACGCGTGCCCCGGGCCCAAGCTACGCCCCGGTGTTTCGACCTTCCTGGTCGACCCGTAACGGTGAAAAAGTTCGGACTCGCGGTTACGGTACGCTAATGTGGGCACGAAGGCCTCGTTGGGAGCGGTGTTCGGCGTCGACGCGTTGAAGATAGAACATGTTTCGAGTGCCCGCTGTGAGGAGGTTAGCGCGGCGATGTTTCGATTATTGACTCTGGTCGTCCCTACTCGAATGAATGGGGAGCTCACGGGTGCAGCTTCCTGCGATTAGTGACGTGGGGCAATATTCTCTTTCCCCGCATTCGAGTGTCGTCTGAATTCGAATGAATGGGAAGATCACGGGTGAGGCCTTTTGCGATTAGTGAAGTGGGGCAATATTGTATCGTCCCCGGACCCGAGCGAGCTCGAAAAAGCTTCCTTTTTCTTTCGGCCTACCTCGAGGACTTTGTTTCGAAGTTGTCCCCCCTCCGCTTCCTTTCGGCTGTTTTTCTAATGCCTTCGCGGAGCGCGATTCGTCGCAGCGAGGCTCGAGCCTTCTATTTTGTCGGCGCCCCCACTCTGGGCACAGTGTATCGTGCGGCTGCCTTTGGCGGGCGTCTGGCTCACACGGTATCCCTTGCTCTTTTCAGTCTTCCCGAAAAAGAAAAAAGCCAGCCATAGTAAGTGAATCAGCGCTCGGAGTCGTAGCTGCTCGTTTCGTGTCTTGCTCTCAACGCGCCGCTTCTCCCTCCAGCTAAAGCGGTGAAGCTTCACCCGATTCATCCGCCCCGTGCCCGCCGTAAATCCGATCCCGTGCCGTTCTTGTCTGCCTGTACTGACGTTCCAATCTTTTCTCTACACACCCGTTGAATAAACGTCCGGCGAGCTGCAGTGTCGGAGGCGAGGCAAACAATTTTTAGAATCGTCTCCTTTAACATGTCTGCTACTCGACTAGGCCCAGTAAACATAACACGCTAATAGCGACGTTTGAAGGGTTCGGAACACAAGTCGTCGCCTATATGTTAGGTATATAATAAAGCTGATAGCCACACTTTTTTTTAGTTCTTAGTTCGGAAGCATGCCTCTGATATTTGCCGGAGCACAGTGACCTTACGTCGTGTCCCAAGACGACAGGGACTAGGTTTATGCAGCCAGCGAGTTCGTGCAGCCCGGGTTATAACCAAGGTGGAGAATACTAATCGGGATGATTTAAATCATGAATTAAATGAGGCTAGTTTTAGTACGATGATTTCAATCCAGGCTTTTCCGGAAATATATTCTCGAGAATATATTTTTTTTATTTGCCGTTTTTCCGTCTTTTTATGCTTTCTATCTGCATTTGTATTGTATTTAAATGAAAAATTGAAAGCCGTGTACAACTCCCTGTAACGCTGAATTAGAGCGCAGCTCTTGAGGGGGAGGAGGGAAAGGTACTGAGGGGAGGGTATTCCCCTCCTCACTTCATCCTCCCTGCTATTCCTCCTCCCCCCTCCCCTTTCTCCCGCTCCTCCCCCTCCTCCTCGTCCCCCTCTTCCTCCCCCTCCCCCCTCCTACCCTCCCCCTCCCCGAAACGCCACCGCGGTTACTGCGGCGGCGGCGCCGCTCAAGCCGGAAACGGGCACCTGAGAGCTTCGCTCTAAAATCATCGACCAAGCACGATTTATATCAAGTTGAACACGAGCAAAGAGCAGTGGTTTTCTGAGCAAATCGAGGTGTTGAGTTTCCTTTGTCCCTTATACTTCGTTCATCAGTTCCGTAACATCCTATGACGTGCAAATCAGAACCTGGAATTAAGAGCAAATGAACCTTTTTTAGTAAGCAAAACACGAGCTTTTCTTAGTATGGCTGGGTTTCCATCAATAAAACGTTTCTAATTAAACTGGACTTTAGGTTACAGTAACTCTTTCTTCCGTATTGTTTTCGGTGATCGGGCTAATTGATCAATCAATCTGCCATCTTTAAATATACATGAAGCGATAAGGAGTCGCTATTTTCCAAGTACAGTGATCTAAATCGAACTTATTTAAATATTTTCATATTAAGTTTTTTTACTCTGTTTATGGCATAGTTTTAAATTTTCGAATGAACGGGAGCAGTGACACCTGATTGCGAGACATATTCACTTTGGGTAATTATTTATTTTCGGCGCGTCTTTGGGCCTTCCCAGGGAAACCGGAAGAGCCGTTCGCCGGCGCCACGTTGGGTGTGGTGAGCCGACGGGGAGCTTGGCGTTTCTAATGCGACTGTCCGGATGGTCGGCCCACCGGCTTCGCGCTTGTCCAGTGGTCAGCTCAGTCTCCTGATCGGCCGTCCATCTCTTCCAAAGAACACACCCCGTCTACTTCCGCTTTGACCTCCCCAGCTTCGTCTCTCTACGAATCTCTCCATTCTCTCCCTCCCTGTGTCCAGCACGGGCTCTCTACATTGGAAAGGTATTTAGCATACCCGTAGCTGAAGCATGACGGAAGGCAAGGAGCGCGTGATGGAGGCGAAGCTTCTTCCGCACCTCTT